AGATTCAGACTGGAACCCATGTGGAGGCTGAGTAGGTGTGTGGCCCACTTGTAATTAAAATGCAAAGGAGGCAGAGGCATTGCTGATTTTTTTTTATTATTATTATATGTGTGTGGGTATGTGAGTGTGAGACCAGATGCCCACAGATGTGGAGAGTGATTTTTAGGAAGACATCTGATGCCAACTTTGAGCCCCCACATGCATAAACACACAATTGCATAACACAAATGCATAAACACATAAATTGCGCCTATATGTACCCTTATAAATGTGGAGGGGCCCCAAAACAGCTTGACCACACAGCCACCATGACAGGCTTAGGGGCCCAGACACAGCTTCTGTGACAGGCTTACTGTCAGGCAACACCCAGATCCAGGAAAAGCCTTAAGCTGACACCACCCAGGAGTAAGGAAGTATCTGACATCCCAAACATTCCAACCATTAGATAAGGTGGCCAAATGTCCCTGAGTCTACCACACACCTGTTTTTGTTTTACAGATACTCCTAGACAATTGTCAACCAATCAGGGTCCTGAACCCTGGAAATCCCCTCACCCCAATCTCTGCAATGATAAAAACCTCACCCCACCTGAGCTCAGGGCTCTCTGCTCCCACTACTGCATCGGACAGAGAGACCAAGCTAGGAGAATAAAGGCTCTTTGCTTTTACATGGGGGATTCGGTCTGCGATCTGGGCATAACAATAAACGTATACTCACAAGCATAAAGACCTGAATGATAACCGTGTAAGAGCTGAGTGCTGGTTTATGCCTGTAACCCCATTGCTGAGGAGACAGAGACAGGTGGGGCCTCTTGGCTTGCTGGCCGGCCGCCAGCCTAGCTGAACCACTGAGCTCCAGGTTCAGTGAGAGACTTGTCTTAAAATGTAAGGCAAAGAGTGATAGAGAAGAACATCCTACAATCCCACATCAGTCAAACTGTTGGATGTGTACACACATGTTGAATGCATGTGCGTATGCATGCATGCACATGGACATGCACACACGCACACACCCCTCTCAATGACAGCTTTGTAACCCTGTCTCTGTCTCAGCTCTTCACTGGGACTTCTAGATCATCTCCTGCAAACACATGCTATCTTCTCTCTCAAGTCTTGTTTCTGACTCTTGCCTTTTAACTAAAATGACCCACACTAAAACCAATCACCTTCCTGTGGCTCTTCCCAGCCCCAAGGCTCTACCTTCTCTCTCCATCTTCAAGGAGTGGGCTTTTTATTCACATCTCAGTAGCTATTACCACCCAGCTTCTGCGTCTACCATGCAGAAGGCCTAACCATGGAGAGTCTGAAGTTTCCTTGGGCTTTAAATGGGTCTCTATCAGCAGGAAAAACAAAAAAAAAAAAATAAACCAAGTACAGCTCTCAATGTCTGAATATTCACTTATAAATTATATACATATACTAATGTATGAGCATATTATGTGTACTAGAAAATGTAAACCAAAATAAATACTTTAAGAGATGGGTTAGATATAGAAGTTGGAATGTTTTTCCTGAGGGGAGTCTCCTGCATTGCTGATTTCAGTTTACTTTATTTTGTTCTTAAGAATTATATGTATGAACCAGGCGGTGGTGGCACATGCCTTTAACCCCAGCACTTGGGAGGCAGAGCCAGGCAGATCTCTGTGAGTTCAAGGCCAGCCTGGGCTACTATGCGAGTTCCAGAAAAGGCACAAAGCTGCACAGAGAAACCCTGTCTCAAAAAAAAAAAACCCATAAACAAACAAACAAAAAACAAAAACAAAAAGCCCCAAACAAACAAACAAGAATTATATGTTTGTGTATGGATGTATGTATATGAAAGCAGACACCCAGAGGTGGAGACTGATTTAAGGAAGATACATAATACCAACCTTAGACCTCTGCATGCATGTACAAGCATACAAATGCACCTACGTACCCCTATAAATACATACAACCATACATACATACTACACATGCATGCAAATGCAAAAATAAACAACAAAAATAGACATCCTGCCTCAAAAGGGAAAAACAGGCTGGAGAGATGACCTAGCCAGTAAAGTGCTTGTCACATAAACCTGAGGACATTAGTGCGCACCCCCCACACCCACTGAAAGGTCTCTCTCCCAATGCTGAGGTGTGAGATTCCTGGACCTGGACTTGACAGGCCATTGTGAGCTCCCTGGTGTGGGTGCTGGGAACCACTCATGGAAGGGTCCCCTGCAAGAGCAGAGTGCTCTTGATTCCTGAGTCGCCCTCCATGTCTTCAGCTCCAGCATACGCTCTTTTGGGTCAGCTTTATCGAGATACTTAAAGCATTACAATCAGCGTTTTGTTTTGTTTTGTTTTTTGAGACAAGATTTCTCTGTGTAGCCCTGGCTGTCTTGGAACTCACTTGTAGACTGGGTTGGCCTCGAACTCACAGAGAGTCACTTGCTCTGCCTTCAAAATGCTGGGATTAACAGCGTGTGCCACTGCTACCCAGCTACAATCAGTTTTAAGCATGCAATTCAATGGGTTTAGACCAAAGTATAAAGTCTGGTTGTTTTTTTTTTTTTGTTTTTGTTTTTTTGGTTTGGGACAGGCTCTCATGTACCCTAGACTGGCCTTGACCTCACATTCATGCTTTTGTTTTCGGAGTCCTGAGAGTACAACTGTGTATTACCAGACTTGACTTATATGAAACCTTGTAATTATTGCCCCAGTCATAATATAGAACATCCCATAATCCCCAAACACCCCTCATCTAGTTAATCCCTTAACTCTGCCCCTGCTACCTAGCAACCGGGTTTTTGTTGTGTGTTACCATCATCACCTGCATGCCTTTTTGAGAATTTCATGTAAATTAAACCACATGTAGCTGGTTTTGAAGTGTTTTTGACTTCTTTCACTTTTGCTTAACTTGGCCAAAGTTTGTCAATCTTGTTCATTTTCTTTACAGAACTAACTAATTCTCTTCCCTTGAGTCTGATACTGTTGTTTGTTTCTTTTCTTCTTTTTTCTCTTGGTTTTTTAGAGACAGGGTTTCTCTGTGTAATCCTGGCTGTTCTGGAACTTGCTCTGTAGACCAGGCTGGCCTCCAACTCACAGAGATCTGCCTGCCTCTGCCTCCCGAGTACTAGGATTAAAGGCTTGTGCCACTGCCCTGCATTTTTTGTTTGTTTGTTTGTTTTGTTTTTTCCTTTTAGCTATTCAAGGGGAGAAGTCCCACCTCAGAGTTGAGAGTGTATCTCAGTGGTATAACTCTAAAGTAATACTGTGTGTGTGTGTGTGTGTGTGTGTGTGTGTGTGTGTGTGTGTGTATACATGCACATCTACTCATGAGTCACCCCACCAGGCTCTACCCCAAAACAAAACAAAAACAAAAAGCTTATTTGTTTTTTTTTCCCCCTAAGGATTGCAGCTTGATGTTATAAAATACATTTTAATGGTGTTCTAGTTTCACTTCTGATACTGTGATAAAACATCATGACCAAAAGCAACTTAGGGAAGGAAACAGTTTATTTCATCTTCTAAGTCCAGGTTATTACAGTCCATCATTGAGGGAAGTCAGGTCAGAAACCTGAAGGCAGGCCGATCACTATTTCATCCAATATGGCCTCTGACTAAGGAACTCACTTCATAGCTAAAGCAGTAAGTGCAAAAAAAAAAGTGTGTGTGTGTGTGTGTGTGTGTGTGTGTGTCTCTCTCTCTCTCTCTCTCTGTGTGTGTGTGTGTGTGTGTGTGTGTGTGTGTGTGTGTGTGTGTGTGTTTAATCCAGAAGATAATTTGCAGGAGATTCAGTTCTCCCCTTTTATCATGTGGTCCCGGGGGATTGAACTCAGGCCATTGGACTTGGCTGCAAGTGCCTTTACCTGCTAAGCCATCTTCTAGCTCTACTACTGGGATTTTCAGTCATTAACCCCTTTTCTCTGATTGGCTCTGAGGCTTACACCCCACCCCTACCCCCCACCCCACCACCCCCAGGTCATCTTTCCTTTATCTGTGTGGAGCGCATCACCGTGATTCCGCTTTGGTGTCTGTGCACGGACCCTGTCACCCTTGGCCTTCCCGGGTCTGCTCCTTTTGGCTCCCCTTTCTCTCTCGCCCTGGGCTGTAGTATTTCCCTTCTTCTTTGCAGAGCTGACAACTCTGGATTTGGATCTTGTGAGTTCTGTATTGTAGCATGCTGGGCTTCTGCACCTCTCTAGTTATTGTTTGAACTTTGCTGGTCTGGGATGTAGCGAGTTCCTTGGAACTAGTTTGATCTTGGCGAGCCTGCTTTTCAGCACCGTTGGGGTAAGTCTAGCATCGTGTTTATCTAAACCAGAGGCTGCTGCCCTGGGCCCCCCAGGCTAGCTGCCTGTATTGGGAAATAAAGTTTTATTGGGACACACTGTGGCTATCTGTTGACATCTTGTCTGTGGCTGCTTTAATGCGCTGGCAACAGAGCTCTGAGGCGTTGCAGCAGTGACCCTGTAACCCGCAGCCGGAAATACTTAGTATTAAAGGAGAAGTTTGCCAATGTTTCGCTGGAGCTAATTTGGGCTCGGGAGGGAAAGATCTGTTCTGAGGGGCTGTGCCCGATGCTCTCTGTGGTAGGAGTTCATTCTAATCTGGTCGGGTGGGATACGAACCACTCCTTCCCTGACCAGGCTCCCAGATTGACCTGCCTACTCATTTCTCCCTGAGGTAGCCCTGGACCCCCTCTCCAGACAGAGTACTAGGTGCTCCTGGGATCACTTTCTTTTTCTCTCCTTTCTCAGGGAATCCCTGTCTTGTTCTTGCTTTGTCCAGAAACTTGCCTAATGTCTGAAAAAAAAATTGTCCTTTTATGGCTGAAAGCTGACATAACTTTTGTTGTTGTTTGAGACAGAGTGCCACGCAGCCCAAGCTGGCCTTAAATTCATCGTATGTAGCTGAGGCTAGCCTCAGACTCCTGATCCACCTGTCTCTACCTCTCCCCACCTGTCTCTACCTCTCCTGCCTAGCCCAGTTTATTGAACTCTGTTTTGTTGCTTTTCTTCTGGCTTCCCACAGCTGCAGCCACCGTCGGGATGAACATGGAGTGGACACTTAGGGACTTCAAATACAGCTGTCCAGTTCTGGAGCATCATCTCCGCTGTACCCTGTGCCGAGATTTAGGAGAGCTCGCGTTTTCTGGGGTGAGTGATTTCTGACATTTTTCATCTCTGATACCTGCCTGGAATGTCTCGTCAAGGGCTGTCTACTTCTGATCTCCCACCACACTCTTAGGAGGGAGGTGCTGCTGGCAAACCTGTGTGATTAATGGGGAAACTAAGGTTCAATGACATTGTCGCTCTCCTCGGGTGGACCAGCTGGACTTGGGGCCCAAGTTGGTGTGACTAGCCTAAGCTGACCCACCAGCTGCTCTGGTTTCCTAAAGATGTCCCGGGTTTAACACTGAATGTCGTGTTGACTGGGGAACTCATCAGTCTTGGGCAGACTGAGACTGTTGGCACCCGAGGAGAATGCCATTTCCCTCTGGCTTTCTTCTACAGCGTTGGCATGCATTTGGTGTCATGTCAATACTGTAAAGCACGCAGAGTATTTGTAATTGTGCCTACACACTGTTAAGTGCTTCGGAGTGGGAGCCGTCGTTACTAGTCCTTATTCCAGTCCTTCTGATTGGATCACCACGGATATGTGTTACTTTTATGGTTACCCAGTACCAGACTATCACTCCTACCTTATGAGGTAGGACCTGTCCACCATTCCAGAGGCTTATTCCATCGATAGCCATTCATAGAAATACCACCTAACTCACATGTCTCCTAAAAGTGGCACTGGGGATGTAGGTCAGTGGTCGAGTACTTGCCTAGTACGTGCACGCACGAATGAATGAATACACTTTCCCCCAGAAGCAGTGAGGCTGGAGTCACTAATTTGAGGTTTACAGTGACTTTGTAGGTCAGAACTATTACAAATACTGAGAAACAGCTCTATTCTGTTTGCATCAGCTCTTGGATACTTTACAGTATTTAATGTGGAAAAGAGGAAGTAGCTTTATTTTACTCCCAAGTGAGCACTTGTGGGAAATAGTCTCAATTAGGACTCAGCTAGAGAGGCAAAAACCGTGGGAGATCGCATATGCTGAGAGCCGCCTTATAAGGAGGCTTAGGTGACTGTGGGGTTGGATGGTAAATGGCTGGAATCTGCAGGGAAAAGATCACAATGCATGGCTGTGCCTGTGTATGGCTGCCTGAGGGGGGACATTTAGGAGAAGAAGGGAAAAGC